GCTCACAGCGTCTTAATTTGTCTGTGAAACAAAACCAAGTGGAGAGATAGATTATCTGGATGAGGACGCCGCCAAGTATATTCAGGATTCGGGAGCCCCTGAGCGAGCGACACTCTGTGGGGCAAAACGAGAGTGCAACGAAGGAGAGGGAAAGCTGGGGCAGATGATGAGGGGGACTACCAGTCCCAGCATGTCCCGGCAGACACAGCTAGTCAATCTGCAACATGCAAAGAGGCACAGGTGACTAAACCAGAGCTGCACTGTTATCAGTGGGCATTGTTCCCAGCTCTCTCTCTGCTGCACTGTTATCAGTGGGCATTGTTCCCAGATATCTTCGAGCACTACAGAACACCTGCCCTTATGCTGTGAGATTTGCTCTCACTTCCTGTGCCACAGACAGCTTCCACATGGGCAAATCTCCCCACAAACAGCAATACGAACCCCTTCAGTAACAGTAACACAGTGATGAGCTCAACTCCCTGTCACTCTGCTCTCTCCTCCTATCAGGATGTTTATTGATTGTCAGCACAGGAACTGATTGGCTCCTTGTTCTTCTTCTTTCTCTCACATTTCAGCCCCGTTGTGCAGGGAATGCAAGAGGCTGACACCAGGTCAAACTTAGATACTCAGGGTAAATCATTCTTTTCTGAGGGCCCTTAAAGGAGAACTATGATGTGAGTGCTTTTCACTCACCTCATAGTTCTAGCCGACCTGTGACAATGAGACTGTCACAGGTCGGCTCAGTAGATCGGGAGGTGAGCGAACACATACCGGCGTTCGCTCACCTCTCGATCCTGTCACGGCTCTATGCCGTGACAGGGGAGGGGCTGGATTCGCCCCTCCCCGCTCCGATCCGCCAGCGCTGACTGGTGGAACGGACGGGGGAGGGGGCGGGTACAGCTGGCTCTGCCTCTAGATAGGCAGATTCAGCTGTCACTCACGCAGCTGGGCGGATCCCGGCATAATTGTCAGAATCCGCTTCAGCTGCGGCGTCTCAGTATACTGAGCTTAGGGTGACGGGAGGATGCTAGTTTGTGTCCTCCCGTTACCCTAAGGAGAACTATGGGGAAAAGACTTAACCCCATAGTTCTCCTTTAATCTTAGCCTATTCATTCATATCAGTCCCTGACCTCAAGGAGCTTAAAGTCTAAGGTCCCTATCTCACATCCACACACACGGGCCAATTGTAAACGGAAGCCAATTAACCTACCAGTATGTCTCTGGTGTCTGTGAGGAATCTGGGAGTACCCGGAGGAAACCCACATGTACAGAAAGGGCTCTATTTATAAACAATTTGCAACGCCCCTTAACCTGCCAATCTCTGTGAATGTTCACTTTGGGCGAATAATGCCAAAAACAAATGTTCTTAATATACAGGCAGTCCCCGGGTTACAAACAAGATAGGGACTGTAGGTTTGTTCTTAAGTTGAATTTGTATGTAAGTTGGAACAGGTACATTTTTTATGTGTAACCCCAATTTTTTTTGTTTTGTTTTGGATAGCATAGGGGAAGGGTTAACCCCTGTAACGTTTGTTTTGCTGTGTGTGCCCCTGTTCAGAAGATTTCACGTCACTTTCTGTCCCTATGACAATTGGATTTTGAACATTTTGGGTTGTCGGGGAAACAAGGATTGGTGATAAAGCTTCAGCGGAGACACCTTTTTTCCCATGATAACTCTTACAGGAGTGAATTTCCCTTCCTAGGGGTAGATTTCCTTTCACTTCCTGTTGTCTCAAGGACAGGAAGTGAGACTAAATCTTTTTAATGAGGATACAGACAGCAGTAAAAACCTCACAGTGACCCGGAAGAAGAGGCGGGCACCCCTCATCTGCAGGTCTAACAAGAGCCAACTTCCTGTACTGTACGTACAGCACTACAAACCAGACACAAAAAGGCGCGCACTCCTCGTCAGCACGCGCGCGGTAGCATTACAACTACCCCTGCTGTACAGTAATAGCCTCCGTTTGTAAGTAGGAATCGTAGGTAAGTCGGATGTATGTAACTCGGGGACTGCCTGTATTTTTCCCGGTTCTAATGTAATGTGTTGTAATAATGCATTATGGCCACTAGATGGATCTTCCAAGTTCGAATGTAGTGTGTTGTTGGAATTCTTCCCTAGAATTGTTTATAAATAGATCCTATAGTGTCTCGGCTGGGATTCGAACTCGAGGACCCCGATGCTGCTAACCACTAAAGCCACTGTGCTGCCCTAGGACTGGGACATACTGTAAGAATAAAAGTTCCTTCGGGGACAAGGTCCAGTGTGCTTTGTAAAATGCTGAGAAATGTGTCAGCAGTACACGAATAATTACAATGAATAAATAATGAACATTCAGACTCTGAAAATAATTCCTTTTCCATCTATAAACTACGTCTGCTATTTAGTGCAATGCCGGTTTACCTCCGCTGTGTCAGCACAAAATTACATCAACACGGCATCAATCATCCAACCCGGAGCCTTGTTATTTCACTTCACCACTTTACAACAGAACATTTCTCTTTTCACTGGTTTGTTCAGTTTAAAAAAAATATCTTTGTTATCAAAAAGAAGATCACGACCCAAACTTACTGGGGGAGGAAGGGCCAAAGGGGGTCCTACCAGGTTCTGCTATTACCTATCCCACCCCACACACCCCCACCCCAACCTCCCAAATAAAAGGTAAGCAATAAGCAAAACCTTTAATTAAAAAAAATCTTGCCTGGCATCCAGACTTTTGGCACATCGAGGTGCCAGCGATGTCTGTTATTTTGTATCTCTCTATCACCCCCTCTGATCAATGTTTATATACAATGTTACTTTGTATCTCTCTATCTCCCTCTGATCAATGTTTACAAACAATGTTACTTTGTATCTATCTCCCTCTTAGCAATGTTTATAAACAATGTTACTTTGTATCTTTCTATCTCTCTCTGATCAATGTTTATATACAATGTTACTTTGTATCTCTCTATCTCCCTCTGATCAATGTTTATAAACAATGTTACTTTGTATCTCTCCAGCTCCCCTCTGATCAATGTTTATAAACAATGTTACTTTGTATCTTTCTATCTCCCTCTGACCAATGTTTATAAACAATTTTACTTTTTATCGCTCCAGCTCCCCTCTGATCAATGTTTATAAACAATGTTACTTTGTATCTCTCTATCTCCCTCTGATCAATGTTTATAAACAATGTTACTTTGTATCTCTCTATCTCCCTCTGATCAATGTTTATAAACAATGTTACTTTGTATCTCTATCTCCCTCTGATCAATGTCTACAAACAATGTTACTTTGTATCTTTCTATCTCCCTCTGATCAATGTTTATAAACAATGTTACTTTGTATCTCTCTCTCTCTCCCCTCTGATCAATGTTTATAAACAATGTTACTTTGTATCTCTCTATCTCCTTCTCTGATCAATGTTTATAAACAATGTTACTTTGTATCTCCCGCTGATCAATGTTTATAAACAAAGTTACTTTGTATCTATCTTGCTCTGAACAATGTTACTTTTTATCTATCTCCCGTCTATACAATGTTTATAAACATGGTGTCAGAGGTATGTTTTTTGACAGCAGAAGCTTCTATAGTATGTAGACAGCAACCACCAGCTGTCACAAGGGGGGTGGCAGAAGGACAGTACGTAATACACAAGTCCTTTGTACTTCAGTGAACTTTGGGTGCATGTAGAATATCCAGTGTCAACAACTGGTTAACTTAATTCTTTTAATTTATCAATGTTATTATCCGGCTGTAGATCACACAACTGACAGCTGATTTTTTGTAATTAAAAAAAGCAAAAATTTTCAAGATGCTAAAAAAATCAGTATTAAACTCATTGGGGGCTAATTTATAAAACTTCCACTCAGCCATACACTGAGCAAATGCTGTTCACATGGCACTCCTGTCACTAGATTGAGCTGAGGAGCATAGGAATTTCCTATGTACCTCGGAACCATCTAATGGCAGGAGTGCCATGTGAAAAGTATTCGTCCAGTGTATGGCTGAGTGGAAGTTCTGCAAATCAGACCCTAAATGTAAAGACACATATTTTGTTTTGCAATAAAGTGTTTGTAGAGGAAGGTGACAGAGACTGCTTCCATCTACAAATTGCCTTGTACACACATACATATACTGTATATATATACAGCAGGGGGACAGCAGGTAATTCTGCCATGAATACACTTTCTGCTGAAAGATGACAACACTCACTCCATGTACCTTATCTATGAAGAAGCAGTGTTGTCACCCTCTCATGATTTGGACTACAAATTCCTCCGCCTGTCCTCATCTCCATTAGGTGTCTTGTAGTTTACTGAGGAGAACTAGGAAATCTGGTACCACTGAGATTTCAGATCAGCGCACAGGAAGTTACAAGGACACTGGATTTCTGTCAGGATCAACAGGGATTTCTCTGCACTTGCAGCACATAAAATGCACTTGGTCTAAAAAAAGAAATCTAATGCAGCCACCATATCTAAGGACTTGTAAGCTGCAATAAATTACATGCTTGTCCTTGGGTCTAGATATACCTAAATTACAACCCAATTGCAACAATATGCACCTTGCGTGTGTCCATTCCCTCCATTGTTCATGATGCTATTTCCTCATAGTAAAGCTCTGTGTCCTGTGCTTCCCCTCATAGTAAAGTTCTGTGTCCTGTGCTTCCCCTCATAGTAAAGCTCTGTGTCTTGTGCTTCCCCTCATAGTAAAGCTCTGTGTCCTGTTCTTCCCCTCATAGTAAAGCTCTGTGTCCTGTGCTTCCCCTCATAGTAAAGCTCTGTGTCCTGTGCTTCCCCTCATAGTGACGCTCTGTGTCTTGTGCTTCCCCTCATAGTAAAGCTCTGTGTCCTGTGCTTCCCCTCATAGTAAAGCTCTGTGTCCTGTGCTTCCCCTCATAGTAAAGCTCTCTGGGGTAGCATGTTTGTTCAATCTATGTATAGATTATACTACAACAAAAAGCCAAAGGGTTGCACTCATAACCTGATCCGATGTTGGTGGATTGCTAGATTCCTACCTTGGTCGGACAGGAAGTCCAGCATGGTCTGCAGCAGGAAGGAGAGATGGCGGACACATAAGGTGGGGTTCCCCATCCTTCGAGAAGCGTACACAAGCTCGTGGAGTAAACGCATCTGCACAGCGGCCCATCCTCTGTGCGCACCTGCAGTGAGAGGAACAGAATCCATCTATATACATGAACAGCAAAGACACATCATCATCATCATCATCATCATCAGGAATTATACAGATAACAGAATTTCCAGCACAGAGATATGCATGGGACTATCTCCTACATAGAAGCTGCATATAGTTGTTCTGTGCCAGAAGACTCTGCTCCTCCCTCTATCTAACTCTCCTCTTCTGAGATACTCTGCTCTGCTGCAGGACTCTGCTCCTTCCTCTATAACTCTCCTCTCCTGAGATACTCTGCTCTGCTGGAGGACTCTGCTCCTTCCTCTATAACTCTCCTCTCCTGAGATACTCTGCTCTGCTGGAGGACTCTGCTCCTTCCTCTATAACTCTCCTCTCCTGACATACTCTGCTCTGCTGGAGGACTCTGCTCCTTCCTCTATAACTCTCCTCTCCTGAAATACTCTGCTCTGCTGGAGGACTCTGCTCCTTCCTCTATAACTCTCCTCTCCTGAAATACTCTGCTCTGCTGGAGGACTCTGCTCCTTCCTCTATAACTCTCCTCTCCTGAAATACTCTGCTCTGCTGGAGGACTCTGCTCCTTCCTCTATAACTCTCCTCTCCTGAAATACTCTGCTCTGCTGGAGGACTCTGCTCCTTCCTCTATAACTCTCCTCTCCTGAAATACTCTGCTCTGCTGGAGGACTCTGCTCCTTCCTCTATAACTCTCCTCTCCTGAAATACTCTGCTCTGCTGGAGGACTCTGCTCCTTCCTCTATAACTCTCCTCTCCTGATATACTCTGCTCTGCTGGAGGACTCTGCTCCTTCCTCTATAACTCTCCTCTCCTGAAATACTCTGCTCTGCTGGAGGACTCTGCTCCTTCCTCTATAACTCTCCTCTCCTGAAATACTCTGCTCTGCTGGAGGACTCTGCTCCTTCCTCTATAACTCTCCTCTCCTGAAATACTCTGCTCTGCTGGAGGACTCTGCTCCTTCCTCTATAACTCTCCTCTCCTGAAATACTCTGCTCTGCTGGAGGACTCTGCTCCTTCCTCTATAACTCTCCTCTCCTGAAATACTCTGCTCTGCTGGAGGACTCTGCTCCTTCCTCTATAACTCTCCTCTCCTGATATACTCTGCTCTGCTGGAGGACTCTGCTCCTTCCTCTATAACTCTCCTCTCCTGATATACTCTGCTCTGCTGGAGGACTCTGCTCCTTCCTCTATAACTCTCCTCTCCTGATATACTCTGCTCTGCTGGAGGACTCTGCTCCTTCCTCTATAACTCTCCTCTCCTGATATACTCTGCTCTGCTGGAGGACTCTGCTCCTTCCTCTATAACTCTCCTCTCCTGATATACTCTGCTCTGCTGGAGGACTCTGCTCCTTCCTCTATAACTCTCCTCTCCTGATATACTCTGCTCTGCTGGAGGACTCTGCTCCTTCCTCTATAACTCTCCTCTCCTGAAATACTCTGCTCTGCTGGAGGACTCTGCTCCTTCCTCTATAACTCTCCTCTCCTGATATACTCTGCTCTGCTGGAGGACTCTGCTCCTTCCTCTATAACTCTCCTCTCCTGATATACTCTGCTCTGCTGGAGGACTCTGCTCCTTCCTCTATAACTCTCCTCTCCTGATATACTCTGCTCTGCTGGAGGACTCTGCTCCTTCCTCTATAACTCTCCTCTCCTGATATACTCTGCTCTGCTGGAGGACTCTGCTCCTTCCTCTATAACTCTCCTCTCCTGAGATACTCTGCTCTGCTGGAGGACTCTGCTCCTTCCTCTATAACTCTCCTCTCCTGACATACTCTGCTCTGCTGGAGGACTCCGCTCCTCCCTCTATAACTCTCCTCTTCTGAGATACTCTGCTCTGCTGGAGGACTCTGCTCCTTCCTCTATACCTCTCCTCTCCTGATATACTCTGCTCTGCTGGAGGACTCTGCTCCTTCCTCTATACCTCTCCTCTCCTGATATACTCTGCTCTGCTGGAGGACTCTGCTCCTTCCTCTATACCTCTCCTCTCCTGATATACTCTGCTCTGCTGGAGGACTCTGCTCCTTCCTCTATACCTCTCCTCTCCTGATATACTCTGCTCTGCTGGAGGACTCTGCTCCTTCCTCTATACCTCTCCTCTCCTGATATACTCTGCTCTGCTGGAGGACTCTGCTCCTTCCTCTATACCTCTCCTCTCCTGATATACTCTGCTCTGCTGGAGGACTCTGCTCCTTCCTCTATACCTCTCCTCTCCTGATATACTCTGCTCTGCTGGAGGACTCTGCTCCTTCCTCTATACCTCTCCTCTCCTGATATACTCTGCTCTGCTGGAGGACTCTGCTCCTTCCTCTATACCTCTCCTCTCCTGATATACTCTGCTCTGCTGGAGGACTCTGCTCCTTCCTCTATACCTCTCCTCTCCTGATATACTCTGCTCTGCTGGAGGACTCTGCTCCTTCCTCTATACCTCTCCTCTCCTGATATACTCTGCTCTGCTGGAGGACTCTGCTCCTTCCTCTATACCTCTCCTCTCCTGATATACTCTGCTCTGCTGGAGGACTCTGCTCCTTCCTCTATACCTCTCCTCTCCTGATATACTCTGCTCTGCTGGAGGACTCTGCTCCTTCCTCTATACCTCTCCTCTCCTGATATACTCTGCTCTGCTGGAGGACTCTGCTCCTTCCTCTATACCTCTCCTCTCCTGATATACTCTGCTCTGCTGGAGGACTCTGCTCCTTCCTCTATACCTCTCCTCTCCTGATATACTCTGCTCTGCTGGAGGACTCTGCTCCTTCCTCTATACCTCTCCTCTCCTGATATACTCTGCTCTGCTGGAGGACTCTGCTCCTTCCTCTATACCTCTCCTCTCCTGATATACTCTGCTCTGCTGGAGGACTCTGCTCCTTCCTCTATACCTCTCCTCTCCTGATATACTCTGCTCTGCTGGAGGACTCTGCTCCTTCCTCTATAACTCTTCTCTCCTGAAATACTCTGCTCTGCTAATGTGAAATTCTCCTCTCACGTGGCAGAACTGGTACTTGCAAACTGTCACATCGGGGCAACAGAAGTCTCTTCAGCGCCGTGCAAGCTCCCAGCCATGACAAGGAAGCTTGCACGTGACTTCCTCTCTTTATTCCCAGTAGCTATATGGCTCCCTGAATGGCATACAGGAGCTCCCCAATGCAATTCGGAAATTCGGATCCCGAATTCTATCCGGATCTAGGAGAATCAGCTTTAGTAATAATATCTGTATCCGGTTTTCTGTGGTATTCGCAATGAATATTTCCAAACTCATCCGAAACTAATGAAAATTCGGATCTTATCTGAATCCGAAATGAACTGAATTTTGGATCAGAATCCTGAATTCCGAAATATCCAAACCAAACCTAATTTTTCCACAGCTTACACGTCTAATCAGGTCGTCTAGATGTATAATTTTTTAATAGAGTCAAGATTTGGTTGTAAGATAGTTTTATAGATCGGAGTGCGTAGTAGCCAGGGATACCAGGTGAGGTGGAATTTCTCACCTTAACCACTTGAAGTCCGCAGTGTTACACCCCCTTCCCACCCAGGCCATTTTTCAGTATTCAGCGATGCGGTACTTTGACTGACATTTATTCCGTCATGCAACGCTGTACTGAAATTAATTTTATACCATTTTATGGGGACAGATAGAGCTTTCTTTTGGTGGTATTTAATCACCACTGGGGGTTTTTATTTTTTACTATATTAAGGAACAATTAGCGGAAAAAAAAAAAAACAGTTTCCCCTATATTAAATGATAAAACATTTATTATTACCCAATTTTTTGCTAAAATATAAAAGACGGGGTCACGTCGGGTAAATAGACACCAAACATGTCAAGCCTTAAAATTGCGCGCGCGAAACCTAAAAAAACGACAAAACCCAAAATTGGCCATAGGCGACGCTTTAAAAGCTTTTACCGCTCATCAGTTTAGTGTTATCGGTGATTGATGGCCCTAAAATGATTGCTCTCATTCCGACGTCCGCGACGATATGTAACGTGTGTAGCGCAATTGTCATTTTCGCACGCTGGCGCATCGAACGCGTATTTACGTTTATATGTGCGTAAATGTGGGGGTGGGGGACTTAAAAATGTTGTGGGGTTTTTTATATGTGACTTTTATTTATTTTTTTACTTTTTTTATGTTTTTTTACACTTATTGTTATTGCTATTACATAAGGGGATAACAATACCTCTATGTGATAGCACAGGTCCTCTTTATGGAGACATTAGGGGTCTCTAAGACCCCTGTCACCAGGGGACCCCAAAAGAAGCAGATGAAGCACAGATCTGCTTCATCAGCTTCTTCTCTCTGGCTATAGCAGCCAGATCACTGACAGGTGAATGCAGAAGTGATGTATTACACAACACTTCTGCATTCAGACCTCGGAGGGAGATCAGCAAGGAGGAAGATGCTGAACTCCCTCCCATCTTACCTCCTGACACCCTCCCGAGCCGGTCCCGGGCCACAGATGGGCTAGCGGATCCCGGGATTGAAGCTGAGGGTTCAGGAAAGGGGGGTGGCCACGACGGCACTCAAGGGGGGAGAAGGGGGGCGTGCAAAGACAGCACATACATACGATTGGCAGGCTATAGAGCCGCCGATCATATGTATATCAAACAGCTGGTAACGGCTGTAAAGAACAGGTGTGCTTTTTCTGCCCGTGTGCGCGCTAGGTGGCCCGCGCGAGCAGGGAAAAAAAAGCCGTCTAATGACAGCAACCCGCCAATGTGAGTCTGCCGTCCGTCCGTTTTTTCTCAACGGGCGGACGGCAAGAGGTTAGTCACACAGAGATTTAGTTAAGTCCTCCACATTGACAGATGTCAATTTATAAACAATTTGCAGAGCCATTCGTCCTGCTAATCTCTGAACATTTGTTTTTTGCATATTGAGGCAAAAGGAACATATATTTTTTTCATTTTCAGATTGACTGTAATGCAATACCACATTATGGCCGCTAGATGGAGCTGAGGAGCACAGTGAATAATTAGTTCCTATGCTCCTGAGCTCCATCTAGTGGCCATAATGTGGTATTACATCACATTTATGCACAGAACAAACGTTCACAAAGACTTACATGGCAAATGGCTCTGCATATTGTTTATCAATTGTTTACCACACAGAGGTGCCTTGTCGGTGGCAGTGTGGCTTCTACATATTTTTGGCCAAAAGTTTGTGCAACTAAAACCTCTGCTTTTCACGCATACTGTTGACAGGGTAATTTGTTTTGTTGCTGGCTGGCTGGCAGGTGTGCTGGGGACTTTTTTGTGTTTTATATTGTTTATGAATAGACCCCGAAGCGTTTACGTTCCCTGCACCAGTATTGTACGGTATATGGTCATTCTCTGACCGCAATGATCATTCCCCAAGAGTGATCAGTGGTCAGTTCTTGCTGGTTCTACAGCCACGAGATTGCTGCTCAATCCAGCGCCAAAGAATTTTATTCACTTATAAAGGAAGCACGGAAAAAATGAACATTCATTTCAATTATCGTTATTCCGCATTCTATTCTTCAAACCTCCGGTTCCCCAGACAAATCCCCCAAAAAATAAAACAACCTAGGCAAGCTTTGGCTCAGTTCCACCAGGCTGAACATCTTAATAAGTTTTATCGTCACCCGGCACCGTTACCCCAATAATCTGGAATTATTTTTCTCCGGTGGCGCGCTCCGCCGTTCCGTGCTCGCATTAGGAACAGTCACAGAAGAGGAGGCTTCGCATTCTCCGTTTTGTTTTGGTTCTTAAATAGATTATGGCTGCGCAGCCGTCACCGAGAGCTCTGCTACTGGCGGGCACAAAGGAAATTAATAAACACGGCTTTCCGAAAAGCTCTTCTACTTCAGCAACTCGTGAATGAAAAAGAAAAAAAAATGTGAATAAAAATGGATAGAGAGGAACGGAACCCTCTGAAGTCAGAGCAAAGGGTGTCATTCATGGCGAGTATCTGCGTGTAAAACTCCAAAAGGAGCAGCAACGGTCAAAAGGTTGCTCTAAAAAGTGGCAGTTTGGGGCGACAGGCCCAGAAATCTCCTTTTTTGGGTGGCGTTGGGCAGAACTCCATCGCCTATTGACTTTACCCAGCCTATCATGGCCATTCCCAAGGTTTCCATGCTGGGCTACCAACAGCAGGGGAGACCTGTGTAATAGGAGGAGCCAGTGGTGTCACATGGGGGTGCGGCCCGCACCCGGGTGACACCAAAATGACTGACAGTCATTTTGGCGTCACCTCCCCCTTAAAAGTTGGGCACTCGGTCATGGACCGAGCGCCCAACAGTTTTGGAAGAGAGGAGGGGACCCGGCAGCATACCTTATCCCGCCGGGTGACTGTCCCCTGCTCTCTCTGCCGGCATCCATCACCAAGATGGCCACCAGCAGGTATCAATCAATAAGGTCGCCACGCATGCGCAGTGATGTCACGGCGGGGTGTCACCCGGTAACCGCTCCGGGTGACCCCCGGCCTCGGGACGCCCCTGGAAGGAGCTCTGGGCCCTTGGTAAAAGGGCTTGGTGAGGATGTGTCCTAGTACTCGTTCTTGGGTTGAGCTGGTAGTTACCTATGCACACAGAGGCCTTACAGGTGGTCCTTGTGGAAACCTCCAAGATAAGAAATGACTGAAAGGCCGACACCTTATTGAAAATGTTCTTTATTAATCGTGGCAGTCAACTAAGTTAAGCCAATGCGTTTCAGGGGCTACAAAAGTCCCCCTTCACAAGAGCTGAAATGGTGGTGGTAGCAGTTAACAAAGGAAAGCCAACACGTTTCAGGGCTACAAAAGTCCCCCTTCATCAGGGTTAAAAAAGTGGTGGTTCTAAAGTTGACATTGCAGTCAACAATAGAAAGCCAACGTGTTTCAGGGCCACAAAAGTAGCATTCATCACGCCTAAAAAATGGTGGCTCTGAAGTCTGGAATGCTGTAAGTGATATATGTGATGGCTGCCAAACCACCGGCTTATATGCCGCATAGAAATTTCCAATCACGAATAGCACCTACATCAGTCCCGGTTTTAGAAATACCAAATCTCAGCCCTAATGAAGGGGAACTTTTTAGCCCTTGAAATGTGTTGGATTTCCCTTGTTGAATGCCATGTCTAATAAAGACCATTCGGGATACACACTAATGGGTTGGCCTAATGGGTTAGCTTCCTTCAGGCATTCAGAGTACCACTTCTCAGAACCATTGAAGGGGATTTTTTTACTCCCCAAAATGTGCTGGATTTCCTTCATTGAGTGCCACATCTAATAAAGAACATTAGGGATACTTTCTAATGGGTTGGAGCTTCTGCCATTTCTTAGCATGGGAGACCTGAGAGGGGAATGAGCCTGCAACTCTTCTACAAATGGATGGCAGCCACTTCAGAGGAGTTGTCCTGTAACTACCTGCCGGCCGGCCGTTGTGTATACACAGCCGGCCGGGAGCTTCCTGGATGTAACTGGGCGTGTATACACGTCCTGTTAGTCCCGCCCGTTCATGCGAGCCACGCGCGAGCGGGAAAGACGCATAATTTAAAAACCGGCAGCGATGCCTGTTAATATACAAGCTATAGAGCTGGCGGATCACTTGTATGGGGTCCCGATATGTGCGCCCCCTCCCTCTGTCACGCTGATCCCGGGCTCCGCTGTGCCCGGTGCGAGCCGGGACCAGCATAGTGGCTCTCTGAGAAACGTTTGGTTCATTAAAACCCCCTCTCTCCTCTGGGATCATGATAAAGAGAGAAAGATCTCAAATATTTTTATACTTAAAGTAGAACTGAAGCCCAAACGTTTGCCCATTGTTCCAGGAACCCCTAGCAATCTGTGGAGGAGCACTGGGGTACCACAGAATTGTGGTTGAGAATGGCAGAGTTACATTTTTGGGGGGGTTGGGGTTATTGCTTAGTTTTGGATAGAGTAAGGGAGGGTTATAACTCCTGATATGTTTTTTTTTTTTGCCATCTGTGTCCCGTTAGAGATATTTCCCTTCACTTCCTGGCCAAAAGCCACAACAGGAAGTGAGCAGAAACCCCTCCACATCCCTGGCAGTCAGCAAGGTCACCAGAACCAATGACCCCATTTGAAGGTTTACCATCTATTCCTGTTCTGGTGACTCTCAGTGATAACGTTCACCAGGACAGATAGAGAGGGGGAATCTCCCGGGGGACACAGCCCTGACGTGTTATTATATGAGAGAGGGGATTTTAATAACTATAACATATGCAGATCACATTGGTCTTTTTTTAGTGTTTACAATTTGCAAAGCTGGTTAAAGTAGCCCTTTAGTAACTTGACAAGTCTGCAAGAATTCCCCGCATGTCACAATGTACAACAATGGTATAACTTTTTTTTAAAAGCTCCCCTTTCCCTAAAAATCAGCCCTTGAGCTGCATTCAATGACTTTTCTCAGGCTAAGATGATGTCATCAGTCTGCTGCAGGCAGGGAGAAGCATTTCCTTAGTCTCCCCTCTCCCTGTAACATTGTAACGCTGCAGCATGTGTCAGGCTGAAAGGCTGCGTCAGGGACTGATCTGTATCACACATTTGCGAACACAGCCAAGAACTGCAAAGGCACCAGGATTTACATGAGTGTGTCATCTCTGAGCCGGCATCTCAGTCCAGGAATGCCTGAACACAGATGGTGCCGTCCTTTTTAGAGAAAAAAGGAGCTGACGGCGATGTCAGGGGGAGTACTATGATGTCTGTGAGAGCTAATAATTACCTGGAAGTGTTACACTGACGCTTTACAAAGCATGCATGAAACAATATATCTAGAGCTGGGTCTGCTTTAAACAGAAACTTTCAGCATAAATCTGTGAGAGCGGGCACTGCTTGGGCATGCCCACCCTCCCTTCATTACTCGCTGAGCCACTGCTATCATTTCAGCTGTCCTGACCCTTCACTGGCTGCACATTCCTGTTCCTGGCTACTGACTTATGGACAACTATAGAAAGTTATAAGGAGTTAAAAGTGCAGGAACCCCGGAGTTTTATTATATGTTCATTTTGTATTGCTATTATTATCTAATGATATGATGGTGGAATGACTATTAACAGGGGTGTCCCTAACATATTCGCCCCCTGGGAGCTAGGTGGCGCTGGGGGGATAGGGACGTCATTGGTTGCCAGGAGCTGGGCGGGACGCCGGCCAGAACATCCCGGGTTGCTAAGAGGTGGGCAGGGAGATGTGTATGGTCCTTACACATTTCCCCGCCCGGATCTTAGCAACCTGGGACACTGTGACCAGAAAGGGGGCGGCAGGAACACTGCAAACATTGTGCAGCAGAGCAGCCATGCCAAACAGTGAGTACTTAAGAAGCCGAAAATGTTCCACGCGGGCTTGGCTCAGTTTTGCCAGGAGGGCCGACAGGGCTACCCACTGCTTGCATTTCAACCAAATCCCAGGAATCAGCCAGTGTAAGGCCAGCTTTACCCACCCTCAAGGATAACTGTGCTCCCCACAGAGATTGCACCTTCATAATCAAGTTGACAAATGGAGCTCCACTACTCTTGAGAGGTTCCCTTTAAATCCCATCACTAGCCCCACTATTCCTGAGAGGTTCCCTTTAAATCCAATCACTAGCCCCACTATTCCTGAAAGGTTCCCTTTAAATCCCATCACTAGCCCCACTATTCCTGAGAGGTTCCCTTTAAATCCCATCACTAGCTCCACTATTCCTGAGAGGTTCACCTTTAAATCCCATCACTAGCCCCACTATTCCTGAGAGGTTCCCTTTAAATCCCATCACTAGCCCCACTATTCCTGAGAGGTTCCCTTTAAATCCCATCACTAGCTCCACTATTACTGAGAGGTTCCCTTTAAATCCCATCACTAGCCGCACTATTCCTGAGAGGTTCCCTTTAAATCCCGTCACTTCCCACTCTGCCGTTCAATTTTTATAGACAAAAATAAAAAATTGCCATTGTTTGTGTGCATTTCAGATCCTTCCATTGTATGCGGCATGAATCTCATTATTCTATTTATAGAGGAGACTATGATTACCTTTGCTGAAGTCTTTGGGGTCCAAAGATAAGCTGTATCCAGGCAAAGTCTCCAGTAAGAGTTTGTAACAAGCTTTCCAGCCGGGCTCCGGGATAGTAGGGGCCACACACTGCATGGCTGCCACCCTCTTGAAGAAGGCGGACTTGCGGTGGAAGCCGATGACCTCATACAGCTCGGACAGGACGCTGTACCTCTGAATCTTCTCCTCTTCAGACAGCTGAGGAAGAGCGGGGAAAGTTCTATACATCAAGGTTGTAAGGGAAACTATAACAAATCTATTGCATCAGTTTATACTTTCTTCTTTTCTTTTTTTTCAATAATGTTACTGATTTTGTAGAGAAAGAGGACAAAGAAACAAGTTAGAGGAAACACATTTGTAATATACATGATATATACACTGATCAGTCATAACATTCTGAGCAGCCGCCTAATATTAAGTAGCTCCCTCTTTTCCTGACCCGTCCAGGCATGGAATCCACTAGACCTCTGAAGGTGTGCTGTGGTATCTGGCACCAAGCCGTCAGTAGCAGATCCTTTACGTCCAGTAAGTTGTGAGGTGATAGGCCTCCATGGATCGGACTTGTTTTTCCAGAACATCCAACAGATGCACGATTGGGTTTAGATCTGGAGAATTTGGAGGCCAAGTCAATGCCTCAAACTTGCTCTTGTGTTCCTCAAACCATTCTTGAACCATTTTTGCAGTGTGGCAGGGCGCATTATCCTGCTGAAAGAGGCCACTGCCATCAGGGAATACTGTTTCCATGAAGGGCTGTACTTGGTCAGTAACAATGTTTAGGTCGGTGGTACGTGTCAAAGTAACATCCACATGAATGGCAGGACCCGAGGTTTCCCAGCAGAACATTGCCCAAAGCATCGCACTGTCTCCGCCGGCTTGTCTTCTTCACATAGTGCATCCTGGTGCCATCTATTCCCCAGGTAAGTGACACACAAACACCCGGCCATTCACATTATGTAAAAGAAAACATGATTCATCAGACCAGGCCACCTTCTTCCATTGCTCTATGGTCTGGTTCTGATGATCATGTGCCCATTACAGGTGCTTTTGGTGGTGGACATGGGTCAGCATGGGCACCCTGACTGGTCTGCGGCTACGCAGCATCATATGCAACAAACTGCGATGCTCTGTGTGTTCAGACACCTTTCTACCAGAACCAGCATTCACTTTTTCAGCAATCTGAGACACAGTAACTCTTCTATTGGATCAAACTACACGGGCCAGCCTTCCCTCCCCACATCCATCAATGAGCCTTCGCCGCCCCTGAACCTGTCACCGGTTTTCCTTCCTTGGACCACTTTTGGTCGGTCCTGACCACTGCAGACCGGGAACATAACTACAAGAGCTGCAGTTTTGGAGTTGCTCTGACCCAGTCGTCTAGCCATCATCAAAGTCCCTCAAATCCTTCCACTTGTCCATTTTTTCTGCTTCCAACACATCAACTTCAGGGACAGAATATTCACTTGCTGCTTAATATATCCCCCCCACTTCCAGGTGCCATTGTAATATATCCCCCACTTCCAGGTGCCATTGTAATATACCCCCCACTTCCAGGTGCCATTGTAATATATCCCCCCACTTACAGGTGCCATTGTAATCAGATACTTAATGTCAGTGGTGTCACAAGGGGGGTACAGCCCGCACCGGGTGACACCATCAGAAAAGGTGACACCAAAATGACTGACAAAGATTAAAACATTATTAAAGCTGGGAAAAAAACATTGTTGGCACATTCGCTATGTAAAAATGAATTGCCCCTAATGATGTGTGTGCCACTGGTGGATACCACTGTAAGCGATCTGAAAATTACACTCTTGGCTTGGAACACTGCATACAGTGAAGACTACGTGGATCGTTCGTACTCCACCTCCTTCATAAAATGTCTTGTCCCAGTATACATGGTGTTCTGTGATTGGAGGAGGGGAGCATGTCACCTTCATCCACCCCTTGTCCAATCAGTTAGAGCGGCAAGGGTCTGGAACTCGTTGCCGCAAGCAGTGATTTCAGCTGGGAGTGTTGAATCATTCAAAAAACATTTGGACGTTTTCCTCAGAGACCGCAACATACAAGGGTACAGGTACACTTAAGAACATGATCACACATGGACTCATACACACGCATACACATGCAAAATCACATGCATCATACACAATGGGTTGAACTTGATGGACCTGTGTCTTTATTCAACCTCGAATACTATGTAACTATGCATGCAGACTGTGCTAGGTAACACCCACATGTGATGCTGAGCTTTAGTTGACAGAACTTATATCTAGATGATGCTGTACGTCCTTAATTCTGAGCAGCCGCCTAATATTAAGTAGCTCCCTCTTTTCCTGACCCGTCCAGGCATGGAATCCACTAGACCTCTGAAGGTGTGCTGTGGTATCTGGCACCAAGCCGTCAGTAGCAGATCCTTTACGTCCAGTAAGTTGTGAGGTGATAGGCCTCCATGGATCGGACTTGTTTTTCCAGAACATCCAACAGATGCACGATTGGGTTTAGATCTGGAGAATTTGGAGGCCAAGTCAATGCCTCAAACTTGCTCTTGTGTTCCTCAAACCATTCTTGAACCATTTTTGCAGTGTGGCAGGGCGCATTATCCTGCTGAAAGAGGCCACTGCCATCAGGGAATACTGTTTCCATGAAGGGCTGTACTTGGTCAGTAACAATGTTTAGGTCGGTGGTACGTGTCAAAGTAACATCCACATGAATGGCAGGACCCGAGGTTTCCCAGCAGAACATTGCCCAAAGCATCGCACTGTCTCCGCCGGCTTGTCTTCTTCACATAGTGCATCCTGGTGGCATCTATTCCCCAGGTAAGTGACACACAAACACCCGGCCATTCACATTATGTAAAAGAAAACATGATTCATCAGACCAGGCCACCTTCTTCCATTGCTCTATGGTCTGGTTCTGATGATCATGTGCCCATTACAGGTGCTTTTGGTGGTGGACATGGGTCAGCATGGGCACCCTGACTGGTCTGCGGCTACGCAGCATCATATGCAACAAACTGCGATGCTCTGTGTGTTCAGACACCTTTCTACCAGAACCAGCATTCACTTTTTCAGCAATCTGAGACACAGTAACTCTTCTATTGGATCAAACTACACGGGCCAGCCTTCCCTCCCCACATCCATCAATGAGCCTTCGCCGCCCCTGAACCTGTCACCGGTTTTCCTTCCTTGGACCACTTTTGGTCGGTCCTGACCACTGCAGACCGGGAACATAACTACAAGAGCTGCAGTTTTGGAGTTGCTCTGACCCAGTCGTCTAGCCATCATCAAAGTCCCTCAAATCCTTAGAATGTTATGGATGAACAGTGTATGTACTGCATATAGTACAAAGCATCATTAGCAATGAATTGAAGGCAGAAACATTGCGGCATAAAGAAGTTCTAAGGAAGTGACCCTATTGGGGAAATGTCAAAACCAAAAAGATACTGATATCATATCAGGTAGTTGCCTGAGCAAGACGGAAGGGAAGGCCGGAGTTCAGCTAGAACACATCTCTGTGTATTTGTATCATTGCATTGCTTAATAACCAGAGTTATAAACTATGACAAGATAATGAGAGTCTATTAAACTGGCAGAAAACTTTCATAGCTACTAAACTGAAAAAAGAATAAGCAAACAAAAAGAGGAAAAGGACAAACATTGTGCTGAATTAATTGTACAGTGACCACAATTATATTCTCTGAGAGAGAAAAATCACAGCTTGCAGAAAATCATGAAGAAGCAGCAGAGCGGTAGTGCCACCTTGTGCCCAAATACAAGTACTGCGGAAGCAGACAATCATATTTTTATCATATGCCAGGGGTAGGCAACCTCAGCTCTCCAGCTGTTTTGGAACTACAAGTCCCATGAAGCATTGCAAGACTCTGACAGCCACAGGCATTACTTCCAGAGGCAGAAGCATGATGGGCTTTGTGGTTTCACCATAGCTGGAGTGCCAAGGTTGCCTACCCCTGGTATACACCAATGATTATATGTCTGTGAAGGTCCTTATTTAGCCACATTATGGTATAGCTAGTAGTAGTTATCCAAATCCAACCGGACTTGATCGGTTGAATGTGACCAACTACCTCTACCACATGGATGACAAATACCTCAAGTCCTTGCACGGTACAATAACCACCCACACTGGTATCTGTTGCATAGGAGCTTACAATCAAATAGCGCTCCAGCAGCAGTACCAGCAAACACCCTAGAAATTGACCTACACTCACAAAGGGATTATGTACAAACTCCATGCAGGTAGTAAAAAAAATGAGGAACAATACCTTGTCATGGGGAGCTTGTGCAAAACACAGCAATCAATGTAGTCCTTAACCGATGTCACCCGCCTCATATATAAAGGGGCTCATTCATAAATCTTCTGCCTAGCACATAGCTGGGTGAATGCCATTTGCACGGCCCTTCCGCCACTAGATGGATTTGAGGAGCATGGGAATTCCACAAGTTTTGTCTCTTTAAAATTGCTGCAAATACTTCCTGATCTGGCAGAAATGCAGTGAGCTCCTGATTTTGTGTTGTTAGATGCCAACGCTGCTTCTGATGCACAGAAAACTGAAACAATGGTCTTAGCCCTGCCCGAGTTCTCCTCTGCCGGACTACACAACACCCCGACTATGTTATGAAGACAAGGAGAGTTCTCTAGTGAAGCAGGCAGAGATGAGAACACTTCTTGGAACTACAGTGTAGAACATGTGGTGTCTGCTCCTTTCAATGTGTTGGCAGCTCACTGAGGTTCTGGCAGGGTCAGAGAAGGTACTTTTTATGCCTGCTGAGCTTGTAAAGAGATAAAAAATGGGAGATGTAGTGAAAATGTTACAATACAATTTAAAGGAGAACTATGGGGTCAGTGTTTTTCCCCATAGTTCTCCTTAGGGTAACAGGAGGACACATGAGCGAACGCCGGTATGTGTTCGCTCACCTCCCGATCTACTGAGCCGACCTGTGACAGTCTCATTGTCACAGGTCGGCTAGAACTATGAGGTGAGTGAAAAGCACTCACCTCATAGTTCTCCTTTAAAGTCCAGCTCTGGACACGGTTACCTTCAAACCCTGCCGCTGTTCTCCTCTGCTGGACTACAAGACACCCCGAAGACAAGGAGTGTTCTGTAGTGAAGCAGACAGGGCTGACAACACTGCATTGGAATTTCAGTGTAGAGTATGTGTTGTCAGCTCACTGCGGCAACTTAGGAGCTCACTGAGGTTCTGGCAGGGTCAGAGCAGGTACTTGTTATGCATGCTGAGCTTGTAAAGAGATAAAAGATGTAGTAAAAATGGGAGATGAAGTGAAAATGTTACAATACAATTTAAATCCCAGCTCTGGGGACGGTTACCTTCACAGGTTTCCAGCAGCCAGACATTCCTGATCATCAGAAGCACATCGCTGTCAGGTTGGCTTACATAGTTCTATGTCCTTCAAATCAGTTCATTTATATGCTGAGGGCAGTGCCGCTCTCACTGTACCTTCTGGCTGTAAGATGTAAGAGCTGCAGGTCTCATAGACCCCAGCGCTGCGGTCATGTCTCCATCCACTCTCCCCTAGGCCATTCATAATACACACAGCCCCAGGCTCCATTGTATTAATGGCCTGGAGGAAAAGGGGGTAGAGACACAGCCGCAGCACAGGGGCCATTGAGATCTGAAGCACTTATATCTGCATTGGCAAGGAACTAAAGCAGCAGCTGTACTTCTCTCAGCAGATAAACTGACTGGCAGGACATAGACGTATGTCTGCATGACAGCGATGTGCTTCTGAGTAGTGGCAGATCAGCAGTGGCAGATCATCATAGCAACCCAGACGGCCGCCATGGGGCCTAGGGCACAGGGTGACCCGGCCAGCACAAGGAACAAAGGGGTCCCCCTGATGCTCTGCGGGCCGCCAGGGTCGCTATGGCATTGCAGGTTGCTGGCTGTCACTGGCGGCTGTGAGGAGGAACGCGCCGCTGTCCAGATCACTGACAACCTGTCAGGAGGGCTCTGCAAGGAACGTAATTAGAAATCACAGGGCCCCATACTAAATTTTGCTATGGGGCCCTGTAATTTCTAGTTACGCCCCTGGTAACCAGTATGATTGGCTGCTGGAAACCTGTGAAGGGAATCATGCCTGGAGTTGGACTTTAAAAGATTGACCCCCCTCAGAGCCGCTTTCCCTGCTTATGGAGAAATAATACCTTATTTCAGACTGATGGTGAATATGATACTGCAAACTCTGAAGCAAGGGGGACTAGGAACTGAAGGGGATCCCCAGATCTCTCTGTTGGGCTTCACAGAGCTGCTGTCCATCATCCCGTCATACAGACAGGACAGCACACACATTAAACATGCCAGGGTGTCAGGAGAGAGGGAGCTGCTTGTTCGTATGTTATAAGATCAGCTCTGCCAGGGGCATGAAGCCAAAACGAATGGATAAACAATACAAACGAGATTTTTAGCTGTTCCTTTAAAGCGGGTTTATCTATAGATCATCATTCACACCGCAGATCTTCATTAGCAGTTAGAGTTGATGACTAACCTGGCGCAGGTTGATGTAGACAACATTCTGTAGAAACTCTGAGGCCTCCATGCTTTTCTTCTGTATGGCCAAGACACGGACGGCCTTCACACAGGCTTCCAGCTCAACGACTCCTGCTGCCTTAGACTGAGGACAATATGAGAGGGATTACAAATCATCCATATAAGATAACCTGTGTCCCTAAAAACATAACATTCACTACAGACCGGTGACATCACTGAGAATGCAGCCCATCCATTCACTAGGGACCGGTGACATCACTGAGAATGCAGCCTATCCATTCACTAGAGTCCGGTGACATCACTGAGAATGCAGCCTATCCAATCACTAGAGACCGGTGACATCACTGAGAATGCAGCCCATCCATTCACTAGGGACCGGTGACATCACTGATAATGCAGCCTATCCAATCACTAGAGACCGGTGACATCACTGAGAATGCAGCCTATCCATTCACTAGAGACCGGGGACATCACTGAGAATGCAGCCCATCTATTCACTAGAGACCGGTGACATCACTGAGAATGCAGCCTATCCGTTCACTAGAGACCGGTGACATCACTGAGAATGCAGCCCACCCATTCACTAGAGACCGGTGACATCACTGAGAATGCAGCCCACCCATTCACTAGAGACCGGTGACATCACTGAGGATGCAGCCTATCCATTCACTAGAGACCGGTGACATTACTAAGTTTCCAACCAATGCATTCATAGAACCCAGACATGTGAGCATTGGGAGTTATCTTAGATATATATATATATATAGGTTTCTGTCCTACCTTCCCATAGTAAGAGATTGCTTCTTTGTACTTTTCTATAATGTCATCCGGGTTCAGACAGTTTTTGGCTCGCCCGATCTCCATGCTGGCATCCATATTGATCCCGTTGGTGGACAGGGCACCTTATTAGAGAACCAAAATATACTAAATTCAATTATGATTGATGTTTTTACTGTAATTGATGATTCATATATAGAGCCTGATAAGCTGAGGATTTAATGTGTTAACCCTTCTCTGACTGGAGGGAGTTTAATAAGGCCCCATTCACATTGAGCGATTTATCGCGCGGTAATTCCTGCGATATCGCGGCTATTTACCGCGCGATATCGCTCTCCAATGCATTGCAGGACCCTTTTTGGAGCGGATTTTGCTAAGATTCTAGCTTGCTCAATGCAAGCATTTGCGCGATATCGCGCAAAATGCAAATCGCGCAACAAACGCGCGATTTGCGAATTGCTCAGTGTGAATGGGGCCTTAGAGAGCAGTGACTCTTCAGTCCATGGATCATCAGACTGTTCATATGCTGCAGAAGAACCCCGGGAGAGGGGGGGAAATGACGCAGCTATTCAGAATCTGGAGTTCCTGCAGTCTAATATTTTATAGCGCGTCATCCCTGACCGTACCGAGGAGGGATCGGAGGATCTGCTAGGGCCAGTGTGAGAAGATGATGGGCTTATATCATAGAGTCTAATGTAAAGCAATGGACATATCAGCTTGATGGCAATTGCTCTCTGTTACAAGCAGTGACAACCTGATTTGATCTGATACGATTTTACGGCTCTGATTTGGTGCATACGCCGAGACTGCTGATCCTGATGCTTCTGCACACTTGGTTACTTAACCGGGTGGCAATATACACATATACGGCGGCCCGCAGAAGTGGTTATACCAAGAACACAGATGCTGTAGCCATGTTCTTGGTGTCATTTTAAACAGCCGGCGATAACTGTTCATGTACAAGCGATCCGGCGTCTATACAGCCGCTTGATCGTCTGTACCGAACAGCAGATTGTGCTGCCCCCTCCGCCGCCGTTGGCTTCCCCGGGCTCTACTGTCCCTGTGCGGGGCCCAGGACCGGCACAGCGTGTCTCCCCGCAACAATCGGAGAGAGATCAGCAGGCTTCCAGTTGCTGATCTCTCCTTCGATCACTGGACCCGGAAGTGATGTGTATTACATCACTTCCGGTGTCACTGTGTACACTTTTTCCTGCTCTTAGAGCCAGGAGAAGAAGCTGGGGAAGCAGATCTCTGCTTCCTCAGCTTCTGTGGGGTCACTAGGTGACATTAGGGGTCTGAAAGAGAGCCCACACTGACAGTCAGGGAGCCCAAACTGACCGCCAGGGAGACAAAACTGACTGCCAGGGAGCACGCACTGGCCACCACAGAGCCCGCACTGACCTCCACAGAGCCCGCACTGACATCCAGGGAGCCCGCACTGGCTGCCAGGGAGCCTACGCTGGCCGACAGCTAGGCCGCACTGGCCGACAGGGAGCCCTCACTGGCCGGCAGTGAGCCAGCACTGGCCGACAGGGAGACAAAACTGACTGCCAGGGAGCACGCACTGGCCACCACAGAGCCCGCACTGACCTCCACAGAGCCCGCACTGACATCCAGGGAGCCCGCACTGGCTGCCAGGGAGCCTACGCTGGCCGACAGCTAGGCCGCACTGGCCGACAGGGAGCCCTCACTGGCCGGCAGTGAGCCAGCACTGGCCGACAGGGAGCCCGCACTGACCGCCAGAGAGCCCGCACTGACTGCCAGGGAGCCCACACTGGCCACCCGAGAGCCCACACTGACTGCCAGGGAGCCCACACTGGCCACCTGAGAGCCCGCACAGATACTAGTATTGGTGCATCCCTAAATGTTACCGTTGGGGGTCACCACAACTTGGCAAATGTTACCAAGGGGTCCAAGAAAGGCCACTGCTATACACTGTATATAAAACATGATGACTTAGGTACCTTAGTCCTGACTTAGGTACCGTGCAGTGAAGGGGAGAGAGGCTCAGGAACCAATCTAAGAGCCAGCCATCAAGCAATTGGCCCTCGTAGTGCAGAGGTAGCCCCACTGCAAGGGTTCATAAATGTTTTACCCAGAGTTCTTCTTTAAATGTACATATAATCATATAGGAAGATTTTTGTTGAAATGGTCTGGTGACAGGTACTCTTTAAATATATTTAGTGTTGTATTCATATATAGTATAAAGTCATCATCTTCAGAGCTTTACAAAGTGCTACTAACAAGGGTGACCGATGGTAATAATACTCTTGAAATGTGAACATGCCAGAGATACATCCACACACAAGATGCAACCATCTACTTACCGGGGTCAATCAGCACTTCCTGACCTCCTGTCACATAGAGAGAAAAAAAAAAGAAGAAGTGTCAGGTTTTCGGAAAAGATTCACTGGGAAGGATTGTATAATCTTTAGAAACTGGTTTGGATTTAAAGGTCGGCTATAACGCTTTATAGTTTGAGTTTGGGCAAAATGAAACCCCAGTTGATCCTGCCAGAAATCCAATGTGCCCTGCCAGACAGGAAGTGAGGGTAAGTCTCCAACGGCTCTTTTTGTACAGCAGGGGGAACGGTGGCTGAACGGAGTTTCTCAGGGTGAGTTCCCTGACAGTGACAACAGTGGACCATGTCTGTGTAATGTGTGTGGAAATGGCTCCTTGTAGTTTCCATTAGAAGCCCTTGTGACAGGGTGACAACACCTGAGAGCAATTGGGAGTTCTCAGCCCATACCAGGAAGCACCTGGACAAAGACCTTCATGGCAGGATCACCAGGGATTTTTTTGATTAAAGGTGGAGATTTAAAGGAGAACTATGAGGCGAGTGAAACTCACTCATCCTCATAGTTCTAGCCGACCTGTGACAATGAGACTGTCACACGTCGGCTAAATAGATCGGGAAGTGAGCGAACGCATACCATCGCTCGCTCACTTCTCGATCATGTCCATGCAGAGAGCCGTGACTGTCACTGACGGCTCCCTGCAGGAACCGCAAGCTGTAGCTCGCTATATACTGAGTATTGGGTGACGGGAGGACGTTAGTTTGTGTCCTCCTGTGACCCTTAGGAGAACTATGGGGCAAAGCCTTAACCCCATAGTTCTCCTTTAAAAATACTGAAAATGACATTAGCATATTACAGATTATATATGAGATTTGAGTCATTGGGTTTACATCTACTTTAATATAAGTGTGTGCACGGCTAATTCAAAGAGAAGCTGCAGAGAGCAACAGCAGAGGGAATGGAGAGCGACATGAGGCTCACATGCCATTGGTGGAGGATCCCCACTCTACAAATCCCGCCCTCTTCTCTCATTGGTCTTACCTGGCCTGTGCCTCTTACTGGCCTCCACAGAGAGGGAAATATTCTGCGGGCGTCGGGTTCCCGTCTTGCCTCCTGTACCCCCCGGATAATGGTGGATGACTGATGCAGAACACAGACCCTCCAATGCAGCTGCAACAAATGAAAAGCCAGGTGTTATAGAACAATGAAACAATTCAATAGCACATAAGTGTTCCTTCTGCATTATTGTGGTGTAAATGCTAAATAGACAATAGTGACCATCACAGCAATGCCCACCCACAGCTGGAGTGAGAGAGAGAAGCAGCACAAGGAGGCAATCAGTTAATCATGCCGATAGGAGGAGAGAGCAGTGTGCCAGAGCTGTGCTGCTGCTCCTTCGCTGTCCAGTCACAGGCTGGGGGGGGTGGGGGGGGGGGGCAGGTCCAGGATGACCTGGGCTCAGAGAAGTGGGTTGAATAATGCTGGCCATCAGGCTGAGGACACCTAGTGGCAGAATAAAGTACAACAGGGAAGGAGGGTATCTGGATGGAAGGTGAATCTTACATCAAAAAATGGTTTTGTTATTTTATCTTTCAGTGGGCTATTAACATTGCTCTTGCTGTTTTTGGCTGGAGCCCTGCTTTAAAAAAAAATGAAATAAAAGTTGCAGACTCGATGGACCACTTGGCTACCATCACACTTCTATGTTTCTAGGTAGGGGCGGTATAAAACCGCCGTCAGGTTTTTATTTTATTTGTCTCCATTGGGGAGATTTACCTTCAATTCCTGTTTTAATTTCTCCAGTGGAGACACCGCTTCTGAGCTCCATCTAGTGGCCATAATGAAGTATTACATCACATTCAACCTGAATTTATTTTATATGCTTCTGAGCTCCATCTAGTGGCCATAATGAAGTATTACATCACATTCAACCTGAATTTATTTTATATGCTTCTGAGCTCCATCTAGTGGCCATAATGAAGTATTACATCACATTCAACCTGAATTTATTTTATATGCTTCTGAGCTCCATCTAGTGGCCCTAATGAAGTATTACATTACATTCAACCTGAATTTATTTATATGCTTCTGAGCTCCATCTAGTGACCCAAATGCGGCATTACATTACATTCAACTTGAAAAGAAAACAAGCTGAGAACCTTTGTTGTTGTCTCTGTTTGCACAGAAAGCAAACATCCACAGAGATTCACAGGGTGAATGGTGCTGCCAATTGTTTAAAAACAGACCCTATAAACATTTAGTGGGGGTTCTGAAATTTTGACTGCAAAAGTGGAAATATAAATATCCTAAATACTTTTTTCCCCACGCTCCTCAGCACCATCTAGTGGCAAGAATGCGGTATTACGTTAGATTCGGCCCAATTTATATCTATGCTCCATCTAGTGGCCATGATATGGTATTGCATTACATTCAACCTGAAAAGAAAACATGCTAAGAACCTTTGTTATTCCCTCTATTTGCACAGAGAACAAATGTCCACAGAGATTTGCAGGGCGAATGGCGCTGCCAATTGTTTAAAAACAGACCCTCTAAACATTTAGTGGGGGTTTCTCAAAATGTAATTCAATGAAAACATTTTTGGAGTGTGTATGTGTGTCAGAATGTCTGTGAGTGTGTCAGATTGTGTCAATGTTTTTGAGGGCCTGTTCACACTAGTACTGTGCATTAATCGCATGCTACCGTGCGATTAACGCACTGTGCCGTGCAATCTGGTGTGGGAGGTGTGTTGCGTTGCCATTCATTTGAATGGTACCCCAAACGCACCCTCAGCCCACAGTTCGTACGCCCGCGCCTGAACGTGCAGTACCCTAATGCCGTGCGTTCCATTGCAGTGTGATTTGGGTCGCGACTTAATGACGGAGGACAAATGTGGGTCCTGAGGTCACACAGGTTGAGAACCATTGCTTTAGGGTGAGCAAACATAGACAAGTGTTTTACATCTTTTCCTCTTCAGCTGCTGGACTGACAGGTCCCTCTACAACAGTGGTTCTCAACCTTTCTAGGGCCGGGACCCCTTGGTAACATTTGCCAAGTTGTGGTGACCCCCAACGGTAAAATTACGGATGACGCGGCTGCTGCTGCGACATCTGGCGGCTTGGCGGGAGAACTGACACTGCTGCGCTAGGAGAGGGCTGAGGAGGACTCTCACCTTATTATTGTTTATTTTTTAATAATTTGTTTCTTATTTCTTTTTAATCGCTTTTTTATTTTTTAAATTTCTTTAATAATTTTTGTATCTATTTTATTTCCACTTAACTTCATTGCTGTCACACAGAGGTAACAATCCCCTCTGTAATAGCAATTGGAGGTGACAGGTTCTTTTTATTGACCCCGTCACCTCCAATACAGGAGTCCTAGCACAGCACTGTGCTGGAATTTCTGTGACAGGTGAGAGGGGAAGAGCACAGCACAGCTCTCCCCTCTCACTGTATACACGGAGCGGCAGGTTTACTTTTAACCCTGTCGGAAAAAAAAAAAATAACTTTCTCCTGGAAAGGTTTAGTCTGCTCGCTTCTCTTCTGGGTGGCCGGAAGCCGCTTGGCGACCCCTGGCAAATCGTCATTCGACCCCCGAAGGGGTCCCGACCCCCATGTTGAGAACCACTGCTCTACAAGCTTCTTCCAGACTCTCCATGCTGTACCAGGTGATGCACACACAGGGAAAGTCCCCTCTCACCGCCACAAGAATGGGCACGGCTGACCATACAACACCGACTCATTCTTAGTGGTTTCCTTCTGTGGTTCAAATTGAATAAAAACCACCTTGATTCCACACAGTCCTTTCCATTACTGAACAGCCATGGGCACTGAACAGAATGGCCATTGACACTTGGGATTGAGAGACAGGTTCTCTGCTTAGAGCAATGCTGGACAAATCCCAGGAGCCGGCCCGGGTCGCCAATGCTCCCTAACAAATTACAGCGAGCATCTAGCGTTTCAGGTTTTCTCGAGTTTCTGCCAATGGAGCTGGCTCCTAAAAAATCCTGCTGGCTCCTGGATTGGACAGGCTGGCTCCTGGATCGGACATACTCAGTCCTGGATCAGACAGAGTATCTCCTGGATCAGACAGAGTATCTCCTGGATCAGACAGAGTATCTCCTGGATCAGACAGAGTATCTCCTGGATCGGACAGAGTATCTCCTGGATCAGACAGAGCATCTCCTGGATCAGACAGAGCATCTCCTGGATCAGACAGAGCATCTCCTGGATCATACAGAGTATCTCCTGGATCAGACAGAGTATCTCCTGGATCGGACAGAGTATCTCCCGGATCGGACAGAGTGTCTCCCGGATTGGACAGAGTGTTTCCCGGATTGGACAGAGCATCTCCCGGATCGGACAGAGTGTCTCCCGGATTGGACAGAGTGTCTCCCGGATCGGACAGAGTGTCTCCCGGATTGGACAGAGTATCTCCTGTATCAGACAGAGTATCTCCTGGATCAGACAGAGTATCTCCTGGATCGGACAGAGTATCTCCTGGATCGGACAGAGTGTCTCCAGGGCAGGACGTCAGACAAAATGAGACATTTATGAGCTCAAAAAAAGTATCTGCTTGTCATAACATTTTCTTGCAAGATGTGGGACGTTGTGAGTGGGATGTTGTGAGTGGGATGTTGTGAATGGGACGTTGTGAGTGGGACGTTGTGAGTGGGATGCAGTGAGTGGGACGTTCTGAGTGGGACGTTCTGAGTGGGACGTTCTGAGTGGGACGTTCTGAGTGGGACGTTCTGAGTGGGACGTTCTGAGCCGAGTGGGACGTTCCGAGTGGGACGTTCCGAGTGGGACGTTCCGAGTGGGACGTTCCGAGTGGGACGTGGCGAGTGGGACGTGGCGAGTGGGACGTTTTGAGTGGGATGTTTTGAGTGGGACGTTCTGAGTGGGACGTTCTGAGTGGGACGTTCTGAGTGGGACATTCTGAGTGGGACGTTCTGAGCGGGACGTTCTGAGCGGGAAGTTCTGAGTGGGACGTTCTGAGCGGGACGTTGTGAGCGGGACGTTCTGAGTGGGACGTTCCGAGTGGGACGTTCCGAGTGGGACGTTCCGAGTGGGACGTTCCGAGTGGGACGTTCCGAGTGGGACGTAGGGATGTTCTATAGCGCTGTATGAGTCCCATGATAATAGGTAGCTGTACATAGTGATATAGTGACCACTGATCATATTTCATACCTCGGAATCTCTCACGGATATCTTACCTCCCAGCCACACAAAGTCATTGACGGCCCGTAACAGCTCGACGGCCATGTGATAATGGACCAGGGCGTCCTGGAGCATCCCGGCCTGCAGGCTGAGGTCACCCACGTGCTTCCGCATGCGTCCCTGGCACCGCTTTTTGTAATGTCTGCAGAGATGAGTTACCGGGCAGATTAGATAATATACCACTAAACATATACATGACATATACATAAAGTATACGTGAAGACAGCAAACAGAAATCACACTGTGACACAGAATCATCTTTTCTAATTGCCATATCATAAAGAATTTCTATGACAAAGGTACCCGTTACCTTTAATTTTTACTATTAATTGGTCACGTGACCAAAGCCATTTTTTTTTTCTTCCCAAGTGTGGGTGTCATGGCTACATTGGGCGGGCAGTGGCATGATGTATACAGCAGCTGGGAAGTATATTCCCCATCTTCCTATTCTGCATTCCTATTCCACATGGCCATCCCTGCTGCAATTAACACTTTTATAGGTTGCTGTTGCCAAATACAGGTTGTGATTGGCTACAGCTACTTCACCACCACAGCTGTCACACCCTAGGGGAAGCATAGAATCACAGCATAGGGGTAAGAAGGCCACTGGATTTCACCATATTCTGGCATACAGGCAACATGCTGCTAGATTTCTGACAGCATAGTTCCTGCTAGGGGCAAGTTGAGCAAGGCTGAGGGGGGGAAGGCTGGGGAGGGGGGGGGTCAGCAAGACTGACCACGGAACTACAAGCATGTTATGTGTCAGCACGCCGTCCTGTAGCTTACAATTAGAAACTATGTGACACAAGCTGATCGCGCCAGCAGAGATCTATTTCCATGCTTAGCTTGGTCTGGATAAGTCAGGAACAGAGGGGGACTGGCAGGGCCGGCCTTAGGCCTTTATGCGCCCTGTGCGAGAAATCTTTACAGCGCCCCGCAGTGACCACACCCCTCAGTGGCCACACCCCCAGTAACCACACCCATTTCCCCCAAAATCCGCACCATTTAAAGACTACTATTTTGTTAAGCCGCAAACAAAATATATATTAAAATGTATGATAAAAATAAAACTTTTATTCAAAGGTATTAAACTTGTCAGCACAATATAAGTATTCTTATCAAATAAAATGACAGAAGGTAAACAATAAATGTCAAACTAAAATACAGTCTATAAAAATAAAGTGTCAGGTTGTCATGCCGACCCCTTTCTTCAAGTAAGTTCATCTAGAAAAGTAAAAATAAAAAACAGAACACAAAACCCAGACTACATGTAAATGAATGATACAAAAAATGTATTGGGGCACATCATAATTTGTTTGAGAATGTGCGGCGGCCATGTTGGCCACCGGCGTGTTCTGTAAATACGTGCCGCGATCTTGGAGGCGGGGAGCATGACCTTACATAACGCCATGCATGCGTGGCGTCAGGTGACGTCACACAATGGTGCTCTATAATGTATTGCTGGGATTTGTATTCCTCTATAGCTGATGGTACATTGTGCTGTGTATTATACAGAGCAATATACCACCAGCTATAGAGGACTACAAATCCCAGCAATACATTATACACTGTATTTGTTGTACTCCTATATAGCTGGTGGTATTCTGCATTGCGCTGTATAGAGGACTACAAATGCCAGCAATAATACATTATACAGTGCAATGCAGAATGCCCCCAGCTATAATGTACTATTGCTGGGATTTGTAGTCCTCTATAGCTGGTGGTATTCTGCATTGTGCTGTATAATGTACTATTGCTGGGATTTGTAGTCCTCCATAGCCGATGCCATTCTGCATTCATTGCTGTATAATTTTACACTTTTCATTTCTCTATATTGCACACCGCACTTTTTCTTTTTTACTTCCACCGCGCCAAGCTTGCTCCTGTGATGGACTACAATCTCAATACAAACTAGTAGTTCCATCACCGGAGCCATTTTTTTAAATGAATTTAATTTTTTTATCCGATTAACCGATTAATCGAACTTAATAATCGGCTAACTAATCGATTTTGAAAATAATCGTTAGCTGCAGCTCTATTATATACATATTATCATTTTTCCCAGAGCCAGAAAACCAAAAGTACCCGACAAAACGTCACATGTACAGACCTTACCGGCTCCTTTCTTGTAGTCCAGGTGGTAGAGAATGAATCAAATACACAGATATATTTATTGGAGGCACCAACCTGCTATCTGGATCAAGCCCTACAAAGTCCTTCTTCTCATACGGGACATAGAGTAGCGGGATCTTTTCCCCGGACTTTTCACTGGTCCTGTCCAGCCGCTTACACTCCAGGACAATGAAGAGAGACTCGATAAAATCCTCCACGCGCTTCTCCACCGCCTCACAGTCTTCGTAGCTGGGGTAGAAGGCCACGTCGATGCGCTGCTGGTCCGCCACCTCTTCCCGCAGCCCGAAGACGAAGAGGCGGGAATCGTAGAGTGTGGAGCTGTAGGCTTCCTTGTGCTGGTCAAACTTCAGGAAGGTGTGGGGGAGCTCCTTAGGGGAGCTGCATTCCGCGATGCATATAAGCCCGACCACTTTGCGGTGCGTCTGGAAGTCGCCCCAGTCGTTGTTCTCTACGCAATACTGGTGGCGGTAGCGGATGTAGAGGGCCCGCTGGGAGTTGCTGACGTTCACCTGAGACACGGATGAGATATGCTTGTAGATCTTGAAAAAGTTGTCGTTCTTCACCACCCCCACAAACTGGACCACCACGAGGAGGGTCTGATGGTCCTCGGCACACTGCATATAATCCGGGACACTCATTCTATTATTAGGATTAGGTCCTAAAACATGAAAGAAATACAAAATTAAAAAGGAAACAATCAAATACCTTTACTTACTGTTTTATCTGCCACAATACACTGACCACCCCACCTCTAAGAGCTGGTTGGACATCTCATTGCAAAACCAACCATGGCCATAAATATAGAGTTGGCTCCCTTTTGCAGCTATAACAGCCACCGGTCTTCTGGGATGGCTTCCCACAAGATTTTGGAAGGTGTCTGTGGTAGTCTGTACCTGTTGTGGCAATGCCACTGTGTAATCTCCATGCCTGGGTCTATATTTTCATAGTGACCAGCACCTGCTGGTTGTACAGGGGTGCACAGCCTCTAAGGTAAAGGTGCTGGGAAGTGTTCCTGGGGACGGGAGGACTCCACCGAGGTCAGAGTGGAGTCCAGTGCAACAGGGAGCTGCGGGTTATGAACTGATTGGGTAAGTTAGCTTGGCATTGAGGCTGTCTGGAGGGAACGGACAGTGGCCTGAGGACTCAGGCTGGAGCAAGAGCAAAGCAAAGAGGTTGGATGAGCATAAGGGTATTTTTGTGAAAAGATGCTCAACAACCCCTGCGAGGGCAACTGTCTTGTTAGTTGTGAATTTCCTTTTTTAATAAAAGTGGGCAAAGGAGCCTTTAAAAGGAGATTTCAGCGAGCGGATGTGTCCTTAAAGCTCTACTGTTAAAGCTAGTTCTCACACTATGTAGGCAAAAAGAGTATTTGTAAAGTCAGGTACTGATGTTGGATCACAAGACCTGACTTTCAGTAGACATTCCAAATTATTCTAGAGGTGTTCAGTAATGTTGAGGTCAAGTACCTGTAAAGGACACTCAAGTTCCTCCACACCAAACTCATCAAACTATGTGTTTATCGAGCTAGCTTTGTACACAAGGGGACAGTCATGGTGGAACAGAGAAGGGTCTTCCTCAAACTGTTTCCACAAGGTTGGAAGAGCACAATTGGCCACAATGTCTTTGTATGCTGTAGCAATAAAAGTACCCCTCGCTGGAAATACCATATCATAGATATGATGGTCAGGTGTAGATGTTATGGTCAGGCATATATTCTATGGCCAGGCAAGACATATCTATGATGGCCAGGTATAGATATGATGGACAGTTGTAGACTTGATGGCCAGTTGTAGATATGATGGTCAGGAGTAGATATAGTGTAGATATTATGGTCAGACGTAGATGTTATGGTTATGTGGTCCATAAGGTCTCTTATGTATTCATGTAACACGTGTGCCAGGAATGGTGTGTGCTGCTGTGTCCAATGTGCTGGGTACGGCATGTATAGCTGTGCCCAATCTGTTGGTTATGGTGTGTGCGGCTGTGTCCAACGTGCTGGGTACAGCGTGTACAGCTGTGTCCAATGTGCTGGGTACGGTGTGTACGGCTGTGTCCAATGTGCTGGGTACGGTGTGTACGGCTGTGTCCAATGTGCTGGGTACGGTGTGTACGGCTGCGTCCAATGTGCTGGGTACGGTGTGTACGGCTGTGTCCAATGTGCTGGGTACGGTGTGTACGGCTGTGTCCAATGTGCTGGGTACGGTGTGTACGGCTGCGTCCAATGTGCTGGGTACGGTGTGTACGGCTGTGTCCAATGTGCTGGGTACGGTGTGTACGGCTGCGTCCAATGTGCTGGGTATGGTGTGTACGGCTGCGACCAATGTGCTGGGTACGGTGTGTACGGCTGCGTCCAATGTGCTGGGTACGGTGTGTACGGCTGCGTCCAATGTGCTGGGTACGGTGTGTACGGCTGTGTCCAATGTGCTGGGTATGGTTTGTACGGCTGCGGCCAATGTGCTGGGTATGGTGTGTACGGCTGTGTCCAATGTGCTGGGTAAGGTGTGTACGGCTGCATCCAATGTGCTGGGTATGGTGTGTACGGCTGCGACCAATGTGCTGGGTATGGTGTGTACGGCTGCGACCAATGTGCTGGGTACGGCGTGTACGGCTGTGTCCAATCTGCCCAAGTTTAATGTATACTGCTGTGTTCAATGTGCCCACCATAGAGTGTGCTGCTGTGTCAAATGTATCGGGTGGATCATGCCTGTGTGTTAAAACAGCCATCTACAGTCTGCTGCATCAAAAGCCTACTGACAGGGTGACAACACAAGAGCTCAATCTGGGAGAAAGAGACAGAGCAGTGTCACCCCATAAAGGGAAGTGCATGGCCGAGGCCCTTTATACAAAATATACACCTCAGCCCACAGGTACACTTTATTAAACAGCCATGCAATGATAATACTCAGCACAAGGAAATAGAAAAAGAAGCTAAATTTTGCTCATAAAATCACTGGGGCCCCTGAGGGCCCACAAATGGGGGCCCCAGATGCAGCATACAGACAGCTACCATCTCCAGCAGGAGGCAGTACTCACAATCTCATCACATCCAATCACCCACCTCTCTCCCAGCTGTCTTCTGCCAATTCTGCCCTCACTTCCTGCTTCCCAAAGGGGGAGGAGCCCACCGGGCGCAACCACCTCGCAGGTGTGTGTTGCTCCCGTCAAGCCTCATCTTTACTGAACTCCGTGAAAATAAACACTTAGATAATTCCTCAGACTAATATAATTATGTATACCAAACAAAAATAAAAGACGAAGCTACACGTATTTTATTTCTTAGTTGCATAATCTATGACGTAAGTGGCTACCCCCAAAGAGAGCTGCCTATGTGGTATCGCCCGTCGCGCACGAAGGCGTTCTCCAGCATGCGGTGATTGGCCGACAGCGGCACGCGCCCCAGTCATTGTTTTGGTGAGGTGCCAATAAGGAGGAAGAGGCGGCTGGCGCGTCATCAGTTGCTAGGTTGGAGAAGTTTGCATGTTGGCCTCCAGGTGTCACTAGTGATCAGCGTGCAGAACTAATAATAATAATACAGAGTTCAGAGGTCAGGACTATACAAAATAATGGTATTCGTAGAAGTTGACAGTTGAAAACAATAATTTTCAGTGTGAACAATACAGGGGGTAAACAAAGGGTTAAGCATTTTTTGGAAACCATGGTGAAGGTCCGCTTTAAGTATATTGTCCAATCAGATTGCAGCATGTACGTTCCGCTTGGAATTCTGATCGCTCCGCCCCCTGGTGTCCTGTTACATTGTGTCATTGTATACATTGGCTCAGCGTCTCTGTACCCGCATAACTACAACTCCCGTCGTGCCTCCGCGCTATCTGTGACGCTGTAGTCTGAACAGTGGGAAACAGCCGGGCCCTTGTTACCCCCCTCTGGGTTCAGTGACCCGCCTGGTTGCCTGATGTGGTATATTTCTTCTGTTTCTCTATTACAAGGAGAACCAGGCCACTGTGCCCGCCGCAGGGGCTGCCGGGAGATGTGGTCCGGCAGTGCAGCACGCCACTCAGTGTTGTTTTGAACCCGCGTAACTTTATTGTTCGCGCACAGTGGTGAAGAGGATGGCGGAGAGCCGGTTGGTGGAGAGCCGGTTGGTGGCTCTCCCTCTGTCCCGGATCCGGGTCATCATGAAGAGTTCGCCCGATGTGTCCTGCATCAACCCGGATGCCCTCATCCTCACCGCCAAGGCCACGGTACCCCGGGGGTTAACTATGGGCGTGCTAATGTCTTTTTGGGGTGTCTTGTGGTGACAATGTATTTCTTTCAGGGGGTGGCGTATTTATTCTGGCAATGGGATAATTAATGCAGGATTTATTGTAGGTCAAGTACCTTAGGGGGTAAATATGGGACATCATAGGTCACCTCTGTACCCCAGGAGGTAAGTATGGGTCATAGGTTACCCCTGTATCCCAGGGGGTAAATATGGGACATCCTAGGTCACCCCTGTACCCCAGAGGGTAAGTATAGGTCACCCCTATATTCCAGGGGGTAAGTATGGGACATCATAGATCACCCCTGTACCCCAGGGGGTAAGTATAGGACAATATAGATCACCCCTGTATTTCAAAGGGGAATTATGGGGCATCATAGATCACCCCTGTATTCCAGGGGGTAAATATGGGGCATCATAGATCACCCCTGTATTCCAGGGGGTAAGTATAGGACAATATAGGTCACCCCTATATTCCAGGGGGAAAGTATGGGACATCATAGATCACCCCTGTATCCCAGGGGGTAAGTATAGGACAATATAGATCACCCCTATATTCCAGGGGGTAAGTATGGGACATCATAGATCACCCCTGTATCCCAGGGGGTAAATATGGGGCATCATAGATCACCCCTGTGTTCCAGGGGGTAAGTATGGGGCATCATAGATCACCCCTGTGTTCCAGGGGGGTAAGTATGGGGCATCATAGATCACCCCTGTATCCCAGGGGGTAAATATGGGGCATCATAGATCACCCCTGTATCCCAGGGGGTAAATATGGGGCATCATAGATCACCCCTGTATCCCAGGGGGTAAATATGGGGCATCATAGATCACCCCTGTATCCCAGGGGGTAAATATGGGGCATCATAGATCACCCCTGTATCCCAGGGGGTAAGTATGGGACAATATAGATCACCCCTATATTCCAGGGGGTAAGTATGGGACATCATAGATCACCCCTGTACCCCAGGGGGTAAGTATGGGACAATATAGATCACCCCTGTATTTCAAAGAGGAATTATGGGGCATCATAGATCACCCCTGTATTCCAGGGGTAAGTATAGGACAATATAGGTCACCCCTGTACCCCAGTGGGTAAGTATGGGGCATCATAGATAAGTAAGGTAGTTGGTTTGTGATGGGGTAACTAGTATCCCATATTCATCCTAGGCAGAGTAAAAAGTATAATGTCATGGGGGCACGTGGCAGATATTATGGGGCAAGTAAGGTTTCCGGTTTGTGATGGGGTAACTAGTAATCCTGATTATCCTAAACAGCATAAAATTTATGTCATGGTGCGGTGGGGCAAGTAAGGTTGCTGGTTTGTGTTGGGGTAACTAGAACTGCAGATCTGTCCCAGGTAGGGTAAAATGAATGCTATTGGGTCCTTGAAGTAATAATGTAATAGTATTGTTATCATTAGAATAGAGCAGATAGGTGACATCCGCTCACCGGGTCCACCATCCACCAATAGGAGCCCTCTAGAGATGGGAGAGACCATTGGGTCGTATTTTGGGGTTGATGACAGTCAGATGGTACAGTCCACCTCCTGGTCAGATACATGACCCTGAACTGTGTGAGTCTGATAGGAATGGTTCTCATGTTCTGTCGTCTTCCTCCGGCAGGAGCTGTTTGTGACATATCTGGCGTCCTATTCCTATAAACACGGCACGGGTAAAGAAGACAACACATTGGCCTACGATGACTTGTCCAACACGGCGGAGAATAGTGAGATCTTCGGATTTCTGTCCGGTAGGTGGAAGCCATTACCGCCACGGTTCAGCTCCAGCCAAATGTTTTATTGAACTTTTGAAACCAGCACCAGCATTATGCTATCACATGGGGGACTATCGGCTTCCTATATACAGGTGAAACTCGAATAATTAGAATATCGTGCAAAGTTCATTTATTTCACTAATGCAACTTAAAAGGTGAAACTAATATATGAGAGAGACTCATTACATGCAAAGCAAGATAATTCAAGCCGTGATTTGTCATAATTGTGATGATTATGGCTTACAGCTCATGGAAACCCCAAGAACCCCAAATCCACAACCTCAAAAAAGTAGATTACATGCAATCAATAAAACACGGATTGTACATAGAACAATATCGGACCTCTGAAAAGTACAAGCATGCATATGTACTCAGTACTTGGTTTGGGCCCCTTTTGCAGCACTTACTGCAATTACTTTTGCACGATATTCTAATTATTCGAGTTTCACCTGTAATACCTATAAAAGAAAACTAATGCCCCGTATACGAATGTTCTTTATTTGGACTTGCTGATTCTGCCAGTAACATGTCCCAGGGTGACAGCACTCATTCACTTTACTCGATCTGCGGAGGAGCAGCATTGTCACCATAGGACTACAAAATACGCCCCCCCCTCTCATCCTTTTAAATATGGGAGGGGGAGGTGTAGTCTCAGAACAATGCTTACAGTCAACTGAGAAATTGATACAATTTCAATGGTATATTTAACACACCAAAAGGGAACCCATGAGCGAAGGACTCCCTTTTGGTGTCTGGGCTCTGCGTTCACATTGTCTGGCTCTGCGTTCACATTGTCTGGCTCTGCGTTCACATTGTCTGGCTCTGCGTTCACATTGTCGGGCTCTGCGTTCACATTGTCGGGCTCTGCGTTCACATTGTCGGGCTCTGCGTTCAGGGTCTGCGTTCATATTGTGGGGCTTTGCAGTCACATTGTGGGGCTCTACCTTCACATTGTGGGGCTCTACCTTCACATTGTCGGGCTCTACGTTCACATTGTGGGGCTCTACCTTCACATTGTCGGGCTCTACGTTCACATTGTCGGGCTCTACCTTCACATTGTCGGGCTCTACGTTCACATTGTCGGGCTCTACCTTCACATAATCAGGGTATGCAGTCACGTTGTGGGGGTCTACGTTCACTAATGCCGCCATATAAAGTCACTTATGCTTCATTTCCAGACATATTGCCAAAGAAAATCCTTGCCAGCGATTATTTGAAGCTGTTGTCAAAAGAAGAGAAGGATGGTACCCTGGACGAGGCGGAGGAGGAGGAAGAGGAAGAAGAGGAGGAGGAGGATGATGATGAGGAGGGAGATGAGGAAGAGCAGGGAGAGGAAGAGGATGAAGCTAGCGTTGACTCTGATGACGAGGCGGATGAAGACTATGAGCAGGATGATGATGACGACGAAGAAGATGATTAATGTGACACCTCTCTGCGTCATGGACACTATAAATACTTTCTTCATTCTAGATTTATTTTTCTACTTAATTTTCAGACAAACAGTAACTGTGCTGGCTGCCCCTGTGCACAATAAACCTTTCTAAATAAACTTCCATAAATGTCTTTTCAGGTATTTTATTAAAGAAAAACTCTTAAAGGGACACTAAACTCAGGAGATAAATCTTAAAAATGCATTCATGAACAACAAGGTATCTTATTTGTGTATCACTCGGCTGTAATTCCTCCCATCATCATTATTATACAGGATTTATATAGCGCCAACAGTTTGCGCAGCACTTTACAATCGCAAGACAAGATGGTGAGGAGGGCCCGGCCCCTGAGGGCTTACAATCTAAAAGGGAGGGGCCAGTGATACATGAGGAGTTAGCTGTGTGGGGATGAATTGTTTGCGAACCTGATAGCTGAGCGGTTAGGTTGAGGTGGGATAGGCTTCCCTGAAGAGATGAGTCTTAAGGGATCGCCTAAAGGCAGTCAGAGTGGGAGATGGACGGAAAGAATGAGGGAGACTCTAGAGAAGTTCTGGAGGCAAGCATGGGAGGATTTGACGAGGGAGCCGGAAAGCAGGAGGTCTTGGGAAGAACAGAGGGACGGTTAGTGTTATACTTTGAGATATAGCCGGGGGCCAGAGTTTTGGGGGGTTTTATAAGTGGTTGCTAATATTTAGAATTGTATCCAGTGGGCGAGTGGAAGCCAGTGGAGGGATTGGCAGTGGGGGATGGAAGTCAGTGGAGGGATTGGCAGAGGGGGGTGGGTGATAGAAGCCAGTGGAGGGATTGGCAGAGAGCAATAATCATCTCTGAATTGGTACTGACACTGTCCTTCCTTCTGGAGGGGGGCTACTTTTGAGTGTCTATTCACACAATGCTCTGCTGATGTAACCTTCCCAGGATGCAATGCTTGTGCACATTGCATCACTAATGCCCAGGAGGATCAGGAAGTGGAACACAAGAAATTGAAAGAAAAAGATGTGAATAATACTAATGAAGGTAAGATGATTTCATATGAAAATGCAGAGCTGCGTACTGAGGTGATTTTTAGTGAAGGGGTAAAGGTCCACTTTAATATTTTTTTTAACCACTTCAAGACCAGGTGTTATAGCCCGTTCCTGACCAGGCCATTTTTCAGTATTCAGCGCTGCGATACTTTGACGTTTATTCCGTCATGCAGCGCTGTACTGAAATGAATTTTATACAATTTTTTGTGGACAGATAGAGCTTTCTTTTGGTGATATTTAATCACCACTGGGGTTTTTATTTTGTACTATATTAAGGAAACATTATTGAAATTTTTGGGAAAAAAGTTTTTTTTTTCCATTATATTAGGAACAATGATTATTACCCACATTTTTGGTAAAATATAAAAGTCGGGGTCACATCGGGTAAATAGACACCAAACATGTCAAGCTTTAAAATTGTGCGCACCCGCAAAAAAACTACCGTACCCAAAATTGACCATAAGCGACGCTTTAAAAGCTTTTACCGCTCATCAGTTTAGTGTTATCAGTGATTGATGGCCCTAGAACTATTGCTCTCATTCCGACGTTCGCGTCGATATGTAACATGTGCGGCGTAATGTGCGAAATCGTTGTTTTCGCACGTATGCGCACCCGACGCCTGTTTGTATGGGGGGGATTTAAAAAAAAAAAAATTATTTGTAACTTTACATTTTGGGGGGGGGGGACTTACATTTTTTTTTGTCCAATTTTTTTTTTCCACTTAGCAATAAAGTTATCACATAGGAGGGTTAGAAAACCCTCTTATGTGATAGCAAAATATGTGACAGGTCCTCTTTATGGAGACATCAGGGGTCTCCAAGACCTGCTTCATCAGCTTCTCTCCAGCATCTAAAGCTGGAGAGTGACACAAGAATGCGGAAGTGATGTACTATACATCACTTCCGCATTCTGACAGCGGAGAGGGGACCGGAGGGAGCTCGTGTACCGAGCTCCCTCTGATTCCCTGTGACAGAGGCCGTATGCTGGTCTCGGGCTCGCACCAATGAGTGCAGCTCTGTCATGTGAATGCATTATTAAAGGAGAACTATGAGGGGGGGAGGGGGAGTGCTTTTCACTCACCTCATAGTTCTAGCCGACTTGTGACAATGAGACTGTCACAGGTCGGCTCAGTAGATCGGGAGGTGAGCGAACACATACCAGCGTTCGCTCACCTCTCGATCCTGTCACGGCTCTGTGCTGTGACAGGGGAGGGGCTGCATTCCCCCCTCCCCGCACCGATCCGCCAGCGCTGACTGGTGGAACGGATGGGGGAGGGGGCGGTACAGCTGGCTCTGCCTCTAGATAGGCAGAGCCAGCTGTCACTCACGCAGCTGGGTGGATCCCGGCATAATTGTCGGGATCAGCTGAGGCGTCTCAGTATGCCGTGAGCTGTAGCTCGCGGTATGCTGAGCTTAGGGTGACGGGAGGACGCTAGTTTGTGTCCTCCCGTTACCCTAAGGAGAACTATGGGGAAAAGCCCTAACCCCATAGTTATCCTTTAAGTGTTTTGTTTTTAAATACAAGCAGTGTAAGTACCTGAATTTTTCTTAAATTATCCTCTTGCAGTCTAATGTATAATCTGTACAGCAGCGCTCAGACAGAAAGAGGAAGAAGCAGTACAATAAGCCAATCAGACATTAGGAGGAGAGAGCATAATAACAGAGTGATGATCTAATTAGCAAGCCACTTCTCTTTCCACTGTCCAGTCACAAAGTGAGGGTGGGGGCCTGGAAGTGGAAGTGAAGCAGGGAAAAGGTCAGGTCTACTTCCTAGCCAGGAAGAACTGTGCTGTGTGGCAGCAATGTGTATATCTCAGGACTGGATGGACACTCTTTAATAAAAATGTATACCTGGTGATCCTGCCAGGAAGGTCCTTGTCCAGCCACTTCCTGTTATGGGGTGACAATGCATTGCAAGTTGACAATTTGTCGGTGAGAAATGTAAAATGTTTTATTTCCCATCACTTTCTTTCTCAGTGCCGAATCTCCCCAGTAGGGACATAGACAACAGGATAAACCTGGCATGGGTTCTACCCCATTGCCAGGCTATCCAAATCTAAAAAAGTTTGGCCTGCACATAGACTTTCCGAGCCCAGTCACTCCATCAAGAGTGCGTTCCAGGTGAATTAGATAACCCGGGAGTCTCGCGTGGAGGCCATGTCCTTAATACTGTTTAAACTCTTCTGGCGACATAGCGCCCACGCTCTACTGAATGTGACTCATAGAATGTGGTGACTCCATTACCTCTGTGTTCCTCTATCTACGCCAGAGGGACTCTTGGGCTGTGCGGCAAGAGAGTCTCGACGTGTGTGCTGCCCTGGTGTATGATGGAACGCCGGGTCTACGCTCCCTGACGGGATATATGTAAACCTTTACGCGGATGCTTGCACGCATTCAGCACTGGGCCGCCTGTCTTGAAGACGATGTATATGGACTCACACGTGAACTTTCCCTTGTTTTATTATTTTTACCCAAATGTTATATTTGGTATCATTGTATATTTGTTTGTTTTTCTGTACTGTACTGTATACTTTAAACTTTTCTAATAAACATAGATTGAACTAAGAGTGCGCAGGGCCGGCCTTAGGGGTGTGCGAGCAGTGCGGCCGCACAGGGCGCCATGGCAACAAGGGCGCCGTGCGGCCGACACAGCTCGTCCTGGGGGCGGCTTCTCTCCCCCTCACCGCAGCGTTCGAGTACGTTCGGCCTCGGGAACGCAACCCGGCCAGCCCAGTTTTTTGGGGGGAGGGAGCATGGAGTTGCATTGAACTCAATGGCACCGGCAGCCACAAACCCCCCCCCGCGCCCGCGGTGCGATCACCGGCGCACGAACGCGTGGCACATTAGTGCCTGTGTTCCAGTCCAGTGCGATCTGCAAACACTATTTTTTACACATCACACTGGACCGGAACGAAGACACTAATGTACCACGCGTTTGGGTGCCTGTGATCGCACCGTGGGCGGGGGCGTTTGCATACTTTTAAACGGGGCCATGACTGAAAAAAAGTTGAGAAATGCTGCTATAGACCCACCGCAAAGCCCTCTGTGCATGCCAAACAGTCGTATGGCACGTTCAGGTGGCTCCTAATGGGTAAATTGTATGTAAAAGACATAATAAGAAATAAAGGTCTGCACACCACTATCACCAACACTATTTGTCAACCAATGAGGGATTTTTTTGGGACATAGATTGGAATTAACAGTGTAGCAAATACTCCTGATGTAATAGGACATGAGACAATTATTGTATTTCAGTTTTAAATACACTGCTCAAAAAAGGAACACTTTTTAATCAGATTATAGCATCAAGTCAATTAAACGCCTGGCAAGTTGATCAGGCCAGTTAAGTAGCAGAGGGGGTTGTTAATGAGTTTCAGCTGCTTTGGTGATAATGAAATTAACAACAGGTGCACTAGATGGGCAACAATGAGACAACCTCCAAAACAGGAATGGTTTTACAGGTGGAGGCCATTGACATTTGTTGCCCTACTCATCTTTTCTGACTGTTTTTCACTAGTGTTGCATTTGGCTAGAGTCAGTGTCACTACTGGTAACATGAGGCGATACCTGGACCCTATAGAGGTTGCACAGGCATGCCAACTCCTTCAGGATGGCGCATCAATACGCACCATTGCCAGAAGGTTTGCTGTGTCTCCCAGCACAGTCTCAAGAGCATTAAGGAGATTCCAGGACACAGGCAGTTACTCTAGGAGAGTTGGACAGGGCCATAGAAGGTCCTTAACCCATCAGCAGGACCGATATCTGCTCCTTTGTGCAAGGAGGGACAGGATGAGCACTGCCAGAGCCTTGCAAAATGACCTCCAGCAGGCCACTGGTGTGAATGTCTCCAAACAATCAGAAACAGACTTCATGAGGGTGGCCTGAGGGCCCGACGTCCTCTAGTGGGCCCTGTGCTCACTGCCCGGCACTGTGGAGGTCGATTGGCATTTGCCATTGAACACCAGAATTGGCAGGTCGGCCACTGGCG